AACCGACAGATAAGATTGATCACAAACCTTCTGACGTTGTTATTCCAAAACCACTTGATGTAACAAAACCAGTTACACAAGATGTGTTTGATGATGAATCTTCTGACGATGAGTTTGGTCTTCACAAGAAAAAGATTCCTGAAATGAAACCAAAACTACAAGATACAAAGGACGATGTTTTGTCCAAACCACTAACTGAACCCAAACCGACAGACAAGATTGATCAAAAGCCTTCTGACGTTGTCATTCCAAAACCACTTGATGTAACAAAACCAGTTACAAAAGACGTATTTGACGATGAATTTTCTGATGATGAGTTTTGTCTTCATAAGATAAAGATTCCTGAAATGAAACCAAAACCACAAGATACAAAGGACGATGTTTTACCCAAAACACTTTCTGAACCTAAACCGACAGACAAGATTGATCAAAAACCTTCTGCCATTGTCATTCCAAAACCACTTGATGTAACAAAACCAGTTACAAAAGATGTATTTGACGATGAATCTTCTGATGATGAGTTTGGTCTTCATAAGGAAAAGATTCCTGAAATGAAACCAAAAGCACAAGATACAAAGGACGATGTTTTGTCTAAACCACTCACTGAACCCAAACCGACAGATAAGATTGATCACAAACCTTCTGACGTTGTTATTCCAAAACCACTTGATATAACAAAACCAGTTACAAAAGATGTATTTGACGATGAATCTTCGGACTATGTTTTGCCCAAAACACTTTCTGAACCCAATCCGACAGATAAAATTGATCACAAACCTTCTGACGTTGTCATTCCAAAACCACTTGATGTAACAAAACCAGTTACGAAAGATGTATTTGACGATGAATCTTCTGATGATGAGTTTGGTCTTCATAAGGACAAGATTCCTGAACTGAAACCAAAACCACAAGATACAAAGGACGATGTTTTGTCCAAACCACTCACTGAACCCAAACCGACAGATAAGATTGATCACAAACCTGACGTTGTTATTCCAAAACCACTTGATGTAACAAAACCAGTTACAAAAGATGTATTTGACGATGAATCTTCTGACGATGAGTTTGGTCTTCATAAGGAAAAGATTCCTGAACTGAAACCAAAACCACAAGAAACAAAGGACGAAGTTTTGTCCAAACCACTCACTGAACCCAAATCGACAGATAAGATTGATCACAAACCTTCTGACGTTGTCATTCCAAAACCACTTGATATAACAAAACCAGTTACAAAAGATGTATTTGACGATGAATCTTCTGACGATGAGTTTGGTCTTCATAAGGAAAAGATTCCTGAACTGAAACCAAAACCACAAGATACAAAGGACGGTGTTTTGTCTAAACCACTCACTGAACCCAAACCGACAGATAAGATTGATCACAAACCTTCTGACGTTGTCATTCCGAAACCACTTGATATAACAAATCCAGTTACAAAAGATGTATTTGACGATGAATCTTCTGACGATGAGTTTGGTCTTCATAAGAACAAGATTCCTGAACTGAAACCAAAACCACAAGATACAAAGGACGATGTTTTGTCCAAACCACTCACTGAACCCAAACCGACAGATAAGATTGATCACAAACCTGACGTTGCTATTCCAAAACCACTTGATGTAACAAAACCAGTTACAAAAGATGTATTTGACGATGAATTTTCTGATGATGAGTTTGGTCTTCATAAGGAAAAGATTCCTGAACTGAAACCAAAACCACAAGATACAAAGGACGATGTTTTACCCAAAACACTCACTGAACCCAAACCGACAGACAAGATTGATCAAAAACCTTCTGCCATTGTCATTCCAAAACCACTTGATATAACAAAACCAGTTACAAAAGATGTATTTGACGATGAATCTTCTGACGATGAGTTTGATCTTCATAAGGAAAAGATTCCTGAAATGAAACCAAAACCACTAGATATAAAGGACGATATTTTGTCCAAACCACTCACTGAACCCAAACCGACAGATAAGATTGATCAAAAACCTTCTGATGTTGTTATTCCAAACCCACTTGATGTAACAAAACCAGTTACAAAAGATGTATTTGATGATGAATCTTCTGACGATGAGTTTGGTCTTCATAAGGAAAAGTTTCCTGAACTGAAACCAAAACCACAAGATACAAAGGACGATGTTTTACCCAAAACACTTTCTGAACCCAAACCGACAGACAAGATTGATCACAAACCTTCTGACGTTGTTATTCCAAAACCACTTGATATAACAAAACCAGTTACAAAAGATATATTTGATGATGAATCTTCTGACGATGAGTTTGGTCTTTATAAGAAAAAGATTCCTGAACTGAAACCAAAACTACAAGATACAAAGGACGATGTTTTGTCTAAACCACTCACTGAACCCAAACCGACTGACAAGATTGATCAAAAACCTTCTGATGTTGTTATTCCAAAACCACTTGATATAACAAAACCAGTTACAAAAGATGTAATTGACGATGAATCTTCTGACGATGAGGTTGGTCTTCATAAGAAAAAGATTCCTGAAATGAAACCAAAACCACAAGATACAAAGGACGATGTTTTACCCAAAACACTTTCTGAACCCAAACCGACAGACAAGATTGATCAAAAACCTTCTGATGTTGTCATTCCAAAACCACTTGATGTAACAAAACCAGTTACAAAAGATGTGTTTGACGATGAATCTTCTGACGATGAGTTTGGTCTTCATAAGGAAAAGTTTCCTGAACTGAAACCAAAACCACAAGATACAAAGGACGATGTTTTACCCAAAACACTTTCTGAACCCAAACCGACAGACAAGATTGATCACAAACCTTCTGACGTTGTTATTCCAAAACCACTTGATATAACAAAACCAGTTACAAAAGATATATTTGATGATGAATCTTCTGACGATGAGTTTGGTCTTTATAAGAAAAAGATTCCTGAACTGAAACCAAAACTACAAGATACAAAGGACGATGTTTTGTCTAAACCACTCACTGAACCCAAACCGACTGACAAGATTGATCAAAAACCTTCTGCCATTGTCATTCCAACCACTTGATATAACAAACCAGTTACAAAAGATGTATTTGACGATGAATCTTCTGACGATGAGTTTGGTCTTCATAAGAAAAAGATTCCTGAAGTGAAACCAAAACCACAAGATACAAAGGACGATGTTTTACCCAAACCACTCACTGAACCCAAACCGACAGACAAGATTGATCAAAAACTTTCTGCCATTGTCGTTCCAAAACCACTTGATATAACAAAACCAGTTACAAAAGATATATTAGACGATGAATCTTCTGACGATGAGTTTGGTCTTCATAAGGACAAGATTCCTGAAATGAAACCAAAACCACAAGATACAAAGGACGATGTTTTACCCAAAACACTTTCTGAACCCAAATCGACAGATAAGATTGATCAAAAACCTTCTGACGTTTTTATTCCAAAACCACTTGATGTAACAAAACCAGTTGCAAGAGATGTATTTGACGATGAATCTTCTGACGATGAGTTTGGTCTTCATAAGGACAAGATTCCTGAACTGAAACCAAAATCACAAGATACAAAGGACGATGTTTTGTCCAAACCACTCACTGAACCCAAACCGACAGATAAGATTGATCCCAAATCCTCTGCCATTGTCATTCCAAAACCACTTGATATAACAAAACCAGTTACAAAAGATGTATTTGACGATGAATCTTCTGAGGATGAGTTTGGTCTTTATAAGGAAAAGATTCCTGAAATGAAACCAAAACCACAAGATACAAAGGACGATGTTTTACCCAAACCACTCACTGAACCCAAACCGACAGATAAGATTGATCAAAAACCTTCTGACGTTGTTATTCCAAAACCACTTGATGTAACAAAACCAGTTACAAAAGATGTATTTGACGATGAATCTTCTGACGATGAGTTTGGTCTTCATAAGGAAAAGATTCCTGAACTGAAACCAAAATCACAAGATACAAAGGATGATGTTTTGTCCAAACCACTCACTGAACCCAAGCCGACAGATAAGATTGATCAAAAACCTTCTGACGTTGTTATTCTAAAACCACTTGATGTAACAAAACCAGTTACAAAAGATGTATCTGACGATGAATCTTCTGACGATGAGTTTGGTCTTCATAAGGACAAGATTCCTGAAATGAAACCAAAATCACAAGGAACAAAGGACGATGTTTTGTCCAAACCACTCACTGAACCCAAACCGACAGATAAGATTGATCAAAAACCTTCTGCCATTGTCATTCCAAAACCACTTGGTATAACAAAACCAGTTACAAAAGATGTATTTGACGATGAATCTTCTGACGATGAGTTTGGTCTTTATAAGGAAAAGATTCCTGAACTGAAACCAAAACCACAAGATACAAAGGACGATGTTTTGTCCAAACCACTCACTGAACACCCAAACCGACAGATAAGATTGATCACAAACCTTCTGACGTTGTTATTCCAAAACCACTTGATGTAACAAAACCAGTTACAAAAGATGTATTTAACGATGAATCTTCTGACGATGAGTTTGGTCTTTATAAGGAAAAGATTCCTGAACTGAAACCAAAACCACAAGATACAAAGGACGATGTTTTACCCAAAACACTCACTGAACCCAAACCGACAGATAGATGATCCAAACTTTCTACCATGTCATTCCATAAACCACTTGATATAAACAAACCAGTTACAAAAGATGTATTTGACGATGAATCTTCTGACGATGAGTTTGGTCTTCATAAGGAAAAGATTTCTGAAATGAAACCAAAACCACAAGATACAAAGGACGATGTTTTACCCAAAACACTCACTGAACCCAAACCGACAGACAAGATTGATCAAAAACCTTCTGCCATTGTTATTCCAAAACTACTTGATATAACAAAACCAGTTACAAAAGATGTATTTGACGATGAATCTTCTGACGATGAGTTTGGTCTTCATAAGGACACGATTCCTGAACTGAAACCAAAACCACAAGATACAAAGGACGATGTTTTACCCAAAACACTCACTGAACCCAAACCGACAGACAACATTGATCAAAAACCTTTTGCCATTGTCATTCCAAAACCACTTGGTATAACAAAACCAGTTACAAAAGATGTATTTGACGATGAATCTTCTGACGATGAGTTTGGTCTTCATAAGGAAAAGATTCCTGAACTGAAACCAAAACCACAAGATACAAAGGACGATGGTTTGTCCAAACCACTCGCTGAACCCAAACCGACAGATAAGATTGATCCCAAACCCTCTGCCATTGTCATTCCAAAACCACTTGATATAACAAAACCAGTTACAAAAGATGTATTTGACGATGAATCTTCTGAGGATGAGTTTGGTCTTTATAAGGAAAAGATTCCTGAACTGAAACCAAAACCACAAGATACAAAGGACG